ACAAGTGGAGATTTGAGCATAAATGATAAATCAGCTTCAGTGCATGAAACCAGCCGACCAGCACCTCATTTACATATCATTTACATGAAGCACACACTAATTCATGCAGATGTGTCAGTAGCCAGCCAATAAAACGGCAGTGTTTGGCATGAAAGCTAATGGCCGTGCTCGTGGGTGGAGTTTGATGTCCAGCAGTGCACTCCTCCCCTGCTGACCAAACTTACTAGTATTAAAATGAAAACAACTGGAAAAAATAAAATGTGAAATAAAACAAAATACTCAGTATTGTTAACATAGTAGAGTGATTGTTTAGTGTAGTTAATTCCCTAAAATAAACGCTGTATTATTGCAGTGTATGACCGAAGCTGTGTTTGTGAGTCAGTAGTATGAAACAAAAGCACAGTGTAATGTGTCTTTAAATGGACCATGAAATAGTTGCAGCACTTGTTTATATCAATGTGCATGTAAAGTAAGTACATCCACTTTTGTACTGGACTGTCATGCACACAAATTAGTATTATTGAAATTTTCTATTGTCCTTATTTTTGCAATTACAGATTATGTTGATAATAGTTTTGGTTAATTAGCCACATATCCAGCATTTATGCCCAAACTTACATGCACTCCTACCAGATATGAGTACAGATATGCCAAGATGAAAGTGATGAATAACAAAACCGTCAGTGAATTTGTGTGCGCTCATCTTACGGTCAGATGTGACCATAAGCATCTTTAATGAACAAGAACCAAAGTGAGAAAAGTGAAGCAACTGAATATATGGAGGTGATGGAAAGTTAATTAACAGATAATTAGCGGGATTAACACATAGGTGCTAGTAAGTTATCACGTTACTTCTTTATATGAAGAAAAATACTTATTAGTTAATTAACAATGTAATAAGCAGCAATTAGCACACAGATAATGAGTAAGTAAGCCACAAACTAACGACAAACTAACTTATCAACTAACAGTGTACATAATTACTAATTGATAAGTGCTTAATCAATTACTAAGTAATAGCTAATGCTTAATGAAGAGTTAACTAATAACTAAATAATGGGAAACTAATAGTTGATTATTATATATTTAATGATTGATTAGCGACCCTTAATGTAAAGTGTTACCAAAGAACTCTCCAGATAAAGGCTCAAACACTTGCCCCACAGTGAGGTGGAACCCAGTGATGTAGCTTTTGGAAAATATGCAGTGCACTTAGTCCCCAGGGTCAGGATTTGGAAAAGCTAGTGTCATCCAGTAAGTGAGATCTCTATAGTCAGTGAAGAAGTGTAATGCCTGCATCAAATCACAAGAGGGCAGGCTTGGACTCTTAATGAACTATTGAGAGTGAACACAGCAGCACATCTGAAAAGTGTGGTTTCTTTGTCAACACTAGGACTTTTTAGTTTGCTTTGTACTGACAGTTGATATGAACCATAAATTGTTTAACTCTTCCTGCATGACACCCCAAATCTAAACTAACGTTAGCATAACAATGGAGTCATAGAGACAGAATGTATGCGCCGAGTTTCTTTTATTAAATCCTTTCAGAACTTAAGGCCATTTACCCATAGCAAATGTACATATTGAGTAGGTGCACCATAGGCAAACTCACCAAAGATAAACTGAGGGTAGACATGCTGTGCAAACCAAAACACCACACTTAGAAAAACAAGAGACAAAATACAAACTCAATCAAAGAATAAGCAAATTCTTAAGCTCCTGATGAAAAGGGGGACTACTTATACACTGAACACTGAACTCACAAAGGTAAACACAATCCATGTAATTAAATCAGAGGAAACCAATGATAGTCAGGGCAGAGTGGAGCCAGGGTAGAACAAGCAGAACTGGTATGAGGAGGAGCTGACTAGGAGTGGGCCCATGGAGGAAAGGAGCCACATGAGGGCAAACATGACAGTGCTGCCCTCTTCTGATGTACAGCTCCTGAGGTGCGGAAGCTGGAAGCCCAGTTGGGAGGCTTGGACCAACAATCAGCCCAGAAAGAGCAGTAAGCAGAGACAGGGCTGAGTCCACAATGGAGTCGGAGCTGTAAGAACTCTTGGAGCAGAGACCGGGAAAGAGATAAGAGACAAGAGCAGAGAGTGCAAAGAGATAGATTATTGCTTATTCTATGAGGATACTCTAAAATGGCCTGGACAGATTTGTTAGTGCTTCTAGAAAAGATTATAAACAATTGGATTACAGTGATATTTCAAAATAACTATTTTCTTTAATTGGTATCACACATGTGATTCAGTCTTATAATCAGTTATTCAGCCTATTTAAATAGAGAACAGTAGTCACTCTGTTTGGTACCATACAGCCACACTGAACATGGACCAGAGAAAGCAATGGGGAGAGTTGTTTGAGGAGATCAGAAAGAAAATCACAGACAATCATGTTAAAGGTAAAGGCTATAAGACAGCTTGATGTTTCTGTGACTACAGTTGCGAATATTGAGAAGTTTAAGGTCCATGGGACTGTAGCCAGCCTCTATAGGAGGCCTCAAGAGGAAAATCGACCCCAGACTGAACAGGATGGTGAAATGGTAGACAAAGGGCCAAAACCTCTGAAGAGATACAAACTGAACTTCAAGGTCAATGTACATCAGTGTCCATTCGCACCATCAGTCCCTTTTTGAGTGCCAGTGAGCTCTATGGAAGAAGACCCAGAAGGACACATTAAAAACATTTGGCACATTGTGAAAAGAAAAAAACACAAAGGAGACCCTGAACTGTTGAATATCTGAAATCCTACATCAAGCAAGAATGGAAAACCTTTTCAGTTTCACAACTACAGCAATTTGTCTCTTTAGTTCTTTAGCTTACAGAGTGCTATAAAAAGAAGAGGTTATGCAACACTGTGGTAAACATGACACTGTCCCAACTTTTTCAAACATGTTGCTGGCATCAAATTCAAAGTGGGCATATAGTTTTAAAAAAATAATAAAATTTCTCTGTTTTAACATTTAAAATGTTGCCTTGTAGAATTTTAAATGGAATATAGGGTTTAAATGATTTGCACACCATTGCATTCTGTTTTTTTTATATTTTTTAACATTATGTATTTATATTTTGACCTGTTCAGGGTGTTTCCTGCCTTCTGCCCTGTGATAGGATAGGCTCCCGCACCCTCCCCCCCCATCCCAGATGGATAAGCAGAGTGTATGTGTGTGCGTATGCGTGTGTGTGTGTGTGTGTGTGTGTGTGTGTTTTGTACAGTGTTCCAACTTTTTTGGATATGGGTTCAGGATTACTTCAACAAGTCTTTGGCAAGCACTACAATACATAGTTATATCCACAAATGCCAGTTAAAACTTTACACTGCCAAAAGTAAGCCTTCTGTTGACAGTGTCCAGAAGCGCAATTCATTTCTCTGGTCTTGGAGGCATCTGGGATGGACCATCACAGTGGAAATGTGTATTGTGGTCAGACGAATCGGTATCTTTTTTGGAAGAAATGGATGCTCTGTGCTCTGGACCAAAGATGAAAAGGACCATCCAGAATGTTACCAGCAACAAGCCCAAAAGCCAGGGTCTATCATGGTATGGGGTTGTGTAGGTGCCTTTGGCAAAGGTAACTAATGCTTCTGTGTTGGCACCATTAGTGCCAAAAAGTACATAGAGATTTTGGAGCAACATATGCTGCCTTTAAGACGACATCTTTTCTGACTATGAAAAACCACATTTTGCACACATTACGAAGGCATGGCTGTGGAAGAAGAGGGTGCAGGTGCTGGACTGGCCTGCTTGCAGTCCCAACCTGTCCCAAATAGAGAATGTGTAGTGTGTTTTAAAATGCAAAATGCAGGAAGAATGGGACAAAATTACACCTGAAACATTTCACTTGGTGTCTTCACTGCTTAAATGTCTTAAGTGTTATGAAAGGAATTTCAACAATACAGAGTTATAAATACTTTACTGTCCCACCTTTTTTAAAATATGTTGCAAGAAAAAAGTTTGAAATAAGCGTTTATGTTGAAAAAACAATAAAATTAATGAGATAAAACTTTAAATAATGTCTTCAGTGTAATAAAGGTCAAAAATCACTCTGTTATTTTACACATCTCTGTTTTCAGTTTTATTATGATTTAACATACCATCCCAACTTTTCTGATTTGGGGTTTTACATACACTGTATGTAAAAATGTTTGCAGATTCTTGCTCATCCAACGTTTCTTCTGAAATCAGGGCTCTTAATAGGGAGTTTGTGCCCTGTTTGCTGCAGAACAGCCTCTACTCTTCTGTGAAGATTAAATTAGAACATTGCTGTGAGGACTTGATTGCATTCAGCCGCAAGAGCATTAGTGAGGTCAGGTACTGATGTTGAATGATCAGTTCTGGAACTCCAACTCATCCCAAAGGTACTGAATGGAGTTCCATCACTCCAGAGAACACAGTCGCACTGCTCCACAGCCCAGTGCTGGGGGGCTCTATACCCCTTTAGTCAACACTTGGCATTGGGGCATGCTGACCTTAGGCTCATGTGTGGCTGCACCACAGCATCTCATTCTATCGACAGTGCTGTTCTTTGGACACTATACAAACTGTGTGCACACTGCTGCAGCCTCTGTAACTGAACTCAGTACTGATAGTTTTGTACTTTCATCATATTGAATCATTTTAAATGAAAGAACAGCTGTAAACACGAGTCGAGTGTCTTATGAAGAACAGCACGCTAGTGTTAATAGTTTTGCCTGGCATAGATACTATCTACTGTCTACTACCATTAGCTTTATTTATGTAGCACCATTCATACACAATATACAGCTCATAGTAATTCACAATATAATAAAACAGTGTTATTTAAACAGTAAATATGAAAAAGGCACAAATTGAAAGAAAATACATTTAGTAATAAAGACCTATGATACAAAACTACAGCCCATACAAAAAAGCACTGTATTAAAAATATGTTACAGTATATTGTATCTGTATTTTAGAATATGCTGACAACATAAAACAACATTTAATTTTCACAGGGGAAGTAAGATGGCAGGCGGAAGTCAAGATGAATGGAACCAGACGAAGGAAATGGAAACCACACATGTAAAAACGTGTGTTTTTGTGTGCGTGTGTATGTGTGTGTGAGAACCAGAGACAGAGAGAGACAGAGTAGGTAAGTGTCAGAGATAAGTGCACAGTGACTTTGACTTCAGAAAGCCTGAAGATGAGCCTGTTTTGGTTATGAAAAGACACATAACTACACAGTTTTTGCTTCATTCATGATGGATAAACCATTTCTGGATATGACCTTGGTGTTAAATGGCTTACTCCTGGCTCTAATTCTCCTTGGAAATGTAGATGCTCAAGGTAAGTCAGCTTTTCTTTATTCAGGAGCTGCTGTGTTTCAGACACAGCAGCATCAGTTCAGTCAGTCTGTAGATTTAGACTGATTACTTATGTTAGATCCCACAGTGTGTGTAAATTGTTATATGCATATCGTCGCTGTCCAAAGAAAACCATGTATCTTCATTTCTGTCGATTTTTATTTTTCTACATCATTTCAACACATTAGCTGTCCCTTACATTGTGTGAAAATTTCATGATGAGTGGACCAATAGAAATGCTCTAAAATCACTTGGAATAAAATCTATTTACATTAACTTGCAGTGAAAGGTAAGGTTTTTGCCTTCTCCTGTAAAGTTACTATCTTGGAGATGTTTTTCTTTGGACAGCAATAATATGTATTAACTGAGATATATATATATATATATATATATATATATATATATATATATATATATATATAGCGCTGCTGTCGGAACGAAACCTTGTATCTCCATTTTTGAGTTTTTGACATATTTGGAAAATACCTTTTGCCTTTTACGTTGTGTGTAAATTTCATGATGAATAAACTAAAAGAAACACCTCAAAATTACTTGGATAAAACTCTGGTTCCATTGATTTACATTAAAAGTAAAGTAGTACAAGGTTTTCTTACGACAGCAGTGATATATATATATATATATATATATATATATATATATATATATATATATATATTGCTTTTATGTGTTTTTTACTTTCTTTTAATAATTATTTTTTTAAGCTATTGCACTTTGTATCATTTATAGCATTCTTTAATTCTGTTCCATTTGCTCTACTCTATATCTTCTTTCATTCTTTCATATTTTTCAATGTTGATCCAACAGTGATACATTGGTGAGTAAAGTGTTTATCCTGAGTTTAATGAACTGTCTTGGAGGCTGACGGTTAGCACTGTTATCCAAGGATTTATTAATGTCCTAGAGGTGTTATAGCACTTTGAAGAATATCTTGATCTTGATCTTCCTAGCTCAGGGTGATGGAGAAGGCATACATATAAGACACCAGACCACTGGTTACCCACACTTCAAAATGATGTTTTTTCAAGGATTCTTTAGTAAAGAAAATGGTTCTATATAAAACCATAAACACTTAAAGAACCCTTTGCATGATTAAAGGGTTCTTTGCATTGTGAAAGTGTTATTCAGACTGGATGGAGAATGTGCTCCAATTGTTGTGCAGATGGTTCTATATAGAACCTTTTTGAAACGGTTCCTATATAGCATCAAAAAGAGTTCTTCTATTGTTACAAGCTTGACATCGTAACAATAGAAGAACCCTTTTTGGTGGTGTATAGAACCCTTTCTACATAAAACCAGTACATTCTCCATCAACCTGAAGAACGCTTTCACGATGCAAAGAGCCCTTTAATCATGCAAAGGGTTCTGTGAGTGTTCATGGTTCTATATAGACATATTTTCTTCACTAAAGGATGTTTGAAGAACTATCTGTTTTAAGAGTGTTGTTTTCAATTTACTATTGTCGCTTTTCACTCTTAAGCACTTTGTCTTTGTTTTTCCTTCTGCTGTTCTTGCTTTTATTTACGTAAAACACACTGAATTGCCTTTGTATTTGAAATCTGCTACATAAACTTGCTTCTACTTTCACTACAGCTTCAAAGGACATTTCATGTAAAACAGGTGTACAGTATAACGGAAACAGTCTTGCAGACCGATCATCTAACTTGCAAATTCATAAGACAGTTTCCATCAAGTTCTCCTGATGAACATTCAGAGCTACTGTGGCTGCATATGTCTACATCCTTAGATGTGCACAAAATAATAATAACAGCATCAAGAGCGTGTGCATCTTAGAGCATGTACAGTTATAAGATTTGCACCAGAATTTACAGGATCAGCTTTGGTTTGTATAGAAACTGCTTTGCATTGAATATTTACAAGCAGTAACGCTCTCATAATCTAGCAGTGCATGTATGGAATTGTTGTGCAGTTGAAACCACAGAAAACAGCGTTTGTCTGTGTCATAATCAACTGACAGATAACCCCATATAGAAGAAAAGTGTATATTACCTAATAAATAAAATATGCAGTATATATCAATTTGATATTTAAGAGCTATCTATTCATCTAAAAACATATTTGGTCAAGTTTTTCCATTTGAATGACAATGAAATGGCAATTCACCTTACGGTATCATACACACCATGGAAGGTTGAAGCTTTTTATACATTATTTATTTCCTTCCTTAGGAAGCCAACTAGATAATCAAGGTTGTTTGAATCTTATATTTTTTAAGACATGAAGTAAATATCAGTCAGTCAAATATCTGTTGAATTACTGTATTAGTTTGCTCTGAATTTTAAACAAGTGCAGTTGAATTTCGAGTGTTTTAATATGTAAAACAAATCTTAATCCAAAAACCTTTCACACTGGTAGTTGGTACAGTTGTGAATAGCATTGCTGCCCCACACATTGGAACAACGGTTCATTTCTCCATTTGCCTGATCTGTAACATCATTGAAGTATAATTCACTCTGAATGGGAGCATCTGCAACTGCCATAAATATATATAAAATATATATCTCTTATTAGATACATTCAAATATGCACATTTTTCAGTATTAAAATATATGCTAATATATTCATATATGTAACAAGACTATTGAAATGTATGCACATATATGTAGATGTTATTTATTTATATATAGTCATGTTTACATATGTTAAACATGTATTTACAGTATTTGATAATTATACTGACACATATTTTGGGAAATCTGTGTAAATATACCTTATTCCTTTTACATATTGGTAACATTTGATTTTTTTGGGTTAAATTTTTCTTGACTTCACCATGCAGTGCACTATGAGACCCACAAGGCATTATTAGTTCTTTTTGGGAAAAAAATACAAGCTCACTGTTGTAGCCAAAATTCAATATCTGACTTAAGATCTGTTGATCTGTTATTGATCAGCTGATTCAATTTTTGCAGGAATTTTACGCACTTGTGCAGCTGCCATACATAAATGCCAATAGCATTTCAGAAAAGGTCAATTAAGATCACTTCACTTACAGTGTGCCATACATGCACTAGCTGAACCCCATTAGATGTAATTTTTTAGGTTTGTAGAAACTCATTGCAGTTTTCTGTTCCTTGTAGGTCCTGCTGGTCTGTGTGTTCCTGCAGTCAGAGTTCGCAAGAACACTGTTTATAGAGGCTCCAGTAAAAGCCTGTTAAGAGTCCCCTGTCCTGTGACATACTGTGAGGAGATTCCAACTGTTAGATGGTTCAGAATTAAAGATACAGACAAGTCGATACCAGTCAGTGAAACAGACCAAGTAACAGTTACACAGGAGTGGTCTACTGCAGACGAGAAAGAGATCATCTCATATTTGAGCTTCAAGAGTTTATCAGTTCAGGATGATGGCATTTATAGATGTGCAGCTGCCGGATCAAATTCCACATCAGAAAGCCACAGCATTAATGTGTCTGTTTCAGGTAAGAAAACTGATTCTTGTTATGATAGTGTTTAATCTAGTAGCGAGTGAGATTAGTTACAGTGATAAAAATGTGAAATGCTAATCTGAACATTTATCTTCCACAGATACAATCCTGGACACTGTAAATGGAAGTAAGAGCAAAGATTTTGTTTTATTGTACATTTTTATTACAAGTTCACTCTTAAAAATAAATGTTCCTTAACTGGTCTTGGTTTGTATGATAAAAAGTCAAACAAACAAACAAAAAATGGTGTAAAAACTTTATTCTAGCTCATTTCATTTCCAAAAAAAAAATGGTTCTTGAAAAAAAACTACTCAATGTAAGTTTTGGAGATTTGGAGACATTTCTGGTGAAAATATGTAATTGCATGCAATGTGCGGAAGAACTTTTGTAACGTTTGGTTATCCTGATGCTTCTGATTGTTAAGTTATTAGTTCTCCTGACTCAGCAATGCTACTTCTTTTAATTTTAACAAAAATTTTTACATAGTGCAGTTATAAAGAATTGTCCATTGAAAGGTTCTTAAGGGAGCTGTATATCAAAGAGTCTTAAAGCACCTTCCCAGTGTTACCACTTTAGAGTTCTAAATTGAAACCAGTCTATTCCATAGATTTGATTGTCTTTCCATAAATACTCTTGCTGTCTCCACTTTATACTCCTTTTTCTCCATTTTTTTAAATTTCCCCTTTCTTTTACTCCCTTTGACAGCCAGCCCCACTCCAGCTCCTCAAAACGAAGTTGTTAGGGTCACAGGGTGGATGCCCTACATTATAATCTGCTCGGGTATCCTCGGTCTGGTCACTGTTGTGATGTTAATCACTTTCCTGAGCCTACATGGAGGTATATGTGAGTAACAAACTGCTTGTCTGCCATTTTCAACTGTTTATTTATTACATGTGGAATGATAAGTTGAGGACAGGCCTGTATGTTCATTTCACATATTATCATACAGTGTATAAGTCAATCATGTTTGCTTTTTTTCATTTTAGGTTCAAGAAAAGCTAAAAAACAGAGAACACAAGTAAGCAATGCAAGCTTATCAATGTATTTTCTCTTTATCTTTTTAACTTATTGTATGTGTTATATTAGGCTTCAAATCCCTGTGGCTGGCTTTACACAGTGAGATTTTCATGCAACTAGTTGCATGTTGTGAGTTGTCTGCAAAATAATTTCTGTATAACTCAATAGTTACACAAAGCAAAAACAAAGTCGCATGCAATACATTCAGTTTTACACTAGTTAGACAAACTAGCAGCTCGTATTTTGAACAATGTATTGTTCTCAAAGCAAAGTCGTCTGTGGAGCTGCAGCATTCTTTATCATCTCTGCTATCATTTTTTCTAGCTGTCATTGTTTGCTCTATAAATATATATATATATATATATATATATATATATATATATATATATATATATATATATATATATATATATATATATATAGGGTTAGGGTTAAACATTTCACCACGTAAAGCGAGCCTTATTCCCTATATGTTTCTCACTCTCATATTATAATTACTTTCATGCTTCATAGTAGATTCTGAATAATTCATAGCAGTTACTGAGTAAGAAGATTTAAAAATAAATAATAAGTAGTTTAAGGGGTTAAAAACACCTTTTCTTTTTCTGCTACGTGACATCTTTCCAGGTACCACCCAGCCCCAACATTTCAAAATATAATGGACACCTCCACAGCCAGGAAAAGCCAGAGCAGCGAAAGAAGGTCTTTGACACATCCAAAGAAACACTAGAGCCTGACATGCCCTCACTGCATCCAGCGATGGATCAGAAGAGCACACTGAGCAGGAGCAGCGGTGAGCAAGGGCCGCAGCAGATCATTTACGCCACTCTGGAACATCTCACACCCCGAGAAACTTCTATAATCAGCCTGCCTTCACGAGAACAGCTGTCAGAGTACGCTTCCATACGAATTTGCTGAAGTTGGAGAGTTTTAGAAACAATATGAACAGACTGAACAGATTCAAACAGAACTCCAGCAGCCTGAACAGTAGAAGTTACAGTGTACCAGCAAAGCTTAATGTCTCTACTATCAATTCTACAGCATCCTTTTCCTTCAAGACTTGTCAAGTCTCACACACACATGCATTTTCTAAGCCGTTAATCCTGCATCGCAGGGGATGCTGGAGCCTATCCTAGCAGTCACTGGGCGGAAGAAAAGAAACACCCTGGACAGGTCACCAGTCCATCGCAGGGCAGACAGACAGACACACATTTTCACACACACACTTACACCTAGGGGCAGTTTAGAATGTCAAATTGGTCTGACTGCATGTCTTTAGACTGTGGGAGGAAACCCACACAGACAAGGGGAGAACATGCAAACTCCCCACAGAAAGGACCCTGGACGCCCGGCCGGGGAACCGAACTCAGCCTTCTTCAAGCCATATATCTTTTAAATACATTTTTTTTTTCTCAAAATATGACAAAATGGCAGTTATTTTGTCAAAAAGCTGTATGATTTTTCTTTCCTTTTTCCCCCTGTGGTCAACTGTTTGATGTTTGTGAAGTTTTCGTCCCAAAACATCATAAATCATAAATATTTTTAACATGACCATTTTCAAAACTCTTTTTATTCCTTAAAATTACACAAGCTGTTTTACTACTGTATCTTTAAGACTGTGTTCCAATTGGCTGTACTGTCTTGTACCCCATTCAAAAAGCCAAAATACTCCATATAACTTTGGCATGAATGGGCGGGGCTAAACTGCTGTAAGCTGAATAGGCGAATGAATGTAAATGCATTGGTTTTTGTGTTATCACAAAAACAGTGAATTCAAAATGGGCTGCAGCTTAGTTTCCACTGATGGACTGTATAGACTGGAGAGTGAATGGTACATTTGAAACAATACTTATGTACTTCATTTAATTATTTTGCTTTAAAAAAGCAAGGAAAATTAGGTCGTCCATAATATGGGCCATTTAAATATCCACCACATTTGTGTTGGTGAGTAGAAGAGGATATATTTTATTATTATTTGAATTTGATAAGAAAAAATGTCCTTTACGTTATGCCGTGTTTGTCATTTGTTGATATTAAAACAAACTGCAAAAAAATCAGAAATCTTAAACGTGTTATCACAGAATGATAAGCAATTTTGTAATTATTTACATAACTAGTAATTGTGTAACTACACATTCAATAGTATAGAAAAACCATAATAACTCTTATAAAGGTTAAAGTCTCCAACAGACAGTGTTCCTGTGTCTAATAATAATGAATGTAAATCAAACAGGGGTTTGATTTACTGAGTGGAAAACTAACGTGTCAACATGTATCAGTTTCCACTGCCCACAAATAAGGTGTGACTTGAGGTATAGTATGTGTTTGATATCTGACTTTTATAATGAAATGTTTCCAAATATCTGATGGAATCTTTTAACAGATATTATTTAGTTCTATTTTAATGTGATTGTTAATATTACTCGCCCCTGCTTATATAATTACCAGCCCGTGTTACTCATACAGCCTTAATGGAAAGAGTGTCAAACCGCTGTTCTGCTTTTAGTCATTTAGGTTGTGACACATAAGCGGAGATGCAGATTGGGGGTGTGTGTTGGGGTCTTATGCTTCACACTTTGTGGTTTTCAAACATGCTGTCTGTGTAGCTAACATGATGGAATGACGATCACATAAGTGTTTCCACCTATGCAGAGTACAGAAAGTTCACACTTTGGGTGCGATGTTTTCATGGCAGATTACTTCTTCTCACGAAACACATCTCAACAGTCGTCCGTTCATTACAGAATCCATATTAAAAATATGATGGCAACACTTTATTTGAACTAGATAACATTGACATAACCACGCCATAAACATGTCATGACAGATGTCATGTACTGTTCTGAGTTGTCATGACAGAGTTTGTTCAATAATATAACAGTGTCATGTCACTATTACTGTTAACTTTCATGACAGATGTGATCATTTTTGATGTTACGACAGCTTATGTCACATTGCACATGCTAATTTGTGCTAAGCGTACTCCAGTTAACTGCCATGACGTCAGACATTGTGGTATCTGACATGACAAATACGGGTAATTACAACAGGACACTGTTATATTACTGAACAAACTGTCATGACATCTTATGACAGCATACAACATCTGCAGTGACATTTATGGGATGGTTATGTCAATGTTACTTAACAGGATTTAAGTAAAATATTACTGATGCAATCTAAATAGATTATGACACAGTCCAGGAGAATGTGAACATCTGAATTCTGCTACATAACATTGACATAGCAATGCCATAAACATGTCATTGAGGTATCATAAGCTGTCATAACTGATTTTGTTCAGTAATATAACAGAGTCATATTACTACTGTTTTAGAGTCCAGTCTCGGCCTTGAGACCAGTCTTGAAACTCCGAGTCTTCTCTTGGTCTCGGGGTAAGGTGGACTCTGACATTCTTCCCAAGAGGAGATGAGGGCAATGCCTCCATCTGAGGACACTGGAAACTGAACTTTTTTTCTATCATTATTGAATATCATTATTGAATATCAACAATATCATATCAACAACATCCATCATCTAAACCGCTTATCCTTCCGGGTCGCGGTGGGGTGCTGGAGCCCATCCCAGCTGTCATCGGGCGGAAGGCAGGATACACCCTGGACAGGTCGCCAACCCATCGCAGGGCAGACAAACAGACATATACATCCACACCCACACTCACACTCACACCTAGGGGCAATTTAGCATGTCCAATTGGCCTGACTGCATGTTTTTGGACTGTGGGAGGAAACCGGAGTACCTGGAGGAAACCCACGCAGACACGGGGAGAACATGCAAACTCCACACAGAAACGACCCTGGTCACCCGGCCGGGAATCGAACCCAGGCCCTTCTTGCTGTGAGGCGACAGCGCTACCCACTGCGCCACCGTGCCGCCCACAATATCTTTCAGCAGAATAAATTTGTCCTTTCTTTACATGTTTAAGTAAAATTTGTTGCTACTGGCTGAGGATCCAAATGGTCCTGTCAGTGATGGTTTAACTGGGTATTATTTATTTATTCACTGTTAGTAATGGAAGTCAACTCAACTTAAAATTATAAGGTAACTGATTACACTGCTTTTCTTATGTCCACTTAATGATACTAGAGTTCACTTAGTCAATTTTATAGTTCTGTTTCTCAGTTTAGTAAGTGATATAGTGCTTTTGCCCACTAGCTGGTACTCTTTCCAGCCCACAATCCCATCAGATCAGATTTTCTCCTCTACCCTCTTAGGGTAGGCTATGGCATCACTGGGGTTTAAACTCACAATCTTCTGTTTGGGTGAAGGCTCAGATTTCATGTCCATACATTTTTAATACACTGTAGAAAATGTTTGCTGTTTTACCTTTGAAAAGTAGCACAATCAAATGTGGTGCACCTGCCTGATAATCTAAAGTCTCCCCAACATCAGGAGATTGTGAGTTTGAAGCACTGCAAAGCCACAGCTGTCCACATCTGGAAGCCCAAGAGGAGACAATGCATCCTAGCTAGTTTTTACAGTGTTCACTGGTTCTAAAATCCAAACATCCTCTGAAGGCAGATCAGGATGTCATTATTATGTTTTCATTTAATAAAAAAAAATGTATGTATGTTGTTTATATATAGTTGACTTTAGGTGGTGATTCTGAAGTAATTTTAGAGAAGAAGGACAGAGAATGACCTCAACCATCATTTACTTCCACAGGTTACGACACAAGACTATAACATAATAATAATAATTAATAATATATTTAGGACATGTGTTATTTAATGTTATATTTAACAAAATATATTCTAAAATGTAACATTAGTTTTGATATATAACATGTATATTGCATGATAATGAACGTATAATGAATTACAAATTAATTTCAGTTTTTCCCACTTTCTTCTTTTTATTTTTATATTCTGAAAAAAATCTGCTCTCAGCCTTGATCAGACCCGACTCTACATGTTACCATTTATTGTTATGACATGTCAGAATGTTTGATGTCATTACAGCTAATGTCACCTGCTAATTTTTGCTGTGTACTCCAGTTAGCTGTCACAACATCAAGTTAAGGCATCTGTCATGACAGTTACAGGTAAAGGTAATGTAATACTGCCATCACATGTTTATGGCACGGTGTCAATGTCAGTTTTATGTAGCAGGGTTTAAGTAAATGTCACCTAATGATGTTATAAATTTAAGATTGTCTGTGTTTGTTTAAAGTTTTCTTATGTTTTTACCCGACACCACAGATCACACAGACCATTAAACTGTAGGCAGTCAAATTGGAGCACGTAGTTTTAACACATTAGATAGCTGTGTGTCAACATTTACACATCAACTGTCAATTTCTCTTCATTTTTGACATCCTTTATCATACTTTTTCATACTTGAATCAACTACTCTCTTTAAATGCTTTTATTTACAGGAACAGTTTATTATTTACAGATACAGGATGAAAGACCAGTTACCCATAGATATAAACAGAGGGCAAGATGCACGTACAAGCATCTTGATGTGACCTCAATATATGCTCACAAAGCATTTGAAATTAATGTTTGATTTTCTAGGGCTGCATGGAGGACCGCAAACTGCGCAACAACTAACTGCAGGGGTTTGAGGTGCAAGGTTTGAAAGGCGCAGCAAAACATTGCGGCTGTCAACGAGCTGAGGCAACAGAGAAACTGAAAGTTTCATGAAAAAGGAGACTGAGGTGTTGATAAATGAAGTTTTCACACCAAAACATTACACAAGGGTGTAGATTTTTAAAAAAATGAAATACAACACGTCCTGTGAGCAAACATTACACTCGCATCAAAGCACATTTTGGCACTGCGTCTTCTCACACATTAATCTGTTACAGAAACAGTCCTATTTCGATGGTAACGATTCAATTATATTAACTTTTTGGAGCTGTTTTTTCATGTAGTGCTGTTCAATGTTCTTAATTTATAACAGTGATGTTTTTTTTCTTTTTCTGCTTCCA